AGCCGATTTACAAGTTTGCTGATTGGTTGAGAGAGATCACACGACTGTCTCATGACCTGAAAACAATGCTAGATTGACGACTCATAGACTTCCTATCTTATCGAGAATTATGTCTTCCTGTCTTACCTAAGATTTTGACACGCTATGTTGATGATTTCTTGTTCCATTTGATTATGCGAATATTTAAATGCACTTCAATTTCATAAAAACATATAGTTTGAGTACAAATTGTAAGCCCATGAAAATCAATCATTTTATAATTTAGTGATGGATCAAAATTATTAGAGTCATATAAAATTTTCCGCGATTTCAGATTAGTTTTTGCAAAAAAGAGGTCTGGTACCCCCATATACTATACTTCTAAAGTGGTTATGCAAGTAGTATTACTTGGTGTCATTGCCGGAAAACCAACCCTCAGTATTGCTTCGATTGCGGAAGATTCACGTGCCTTGATTGTTTCAACGTGCAACAATTGTTGAGTGGAACATTTGATGGACACAAAGTCACCCCAGTCAAAGACTTCAAAGTAGAAGATTACGAAGCAGTGCCAAAGCGACATCCGTTTTGTTCACAAGAGTTCCACGAAAGAGATATCACACGATGTTTTGCTCGGAGTGTCAAGTTTGCATTTGCCAGATTTGCATAGTTACGAATCATCAAAACCACAAAGCTGATCTGCTCGGCATAGCAAACCTTAAAGAAAAGGATAACATCATGTGTGGTGCTCAATTGATTAGGAACAAGGAAAGTGAGCTTTGTGAAGTCATCAAGCAATGTGAGAAAACAATTTCGAAACTGGAGAGCAACGTAGCAACAGCAAAGGTATATAACAAATGGGTATAACAAATTGCTAAACCATCTGGACTGTCTAAAAATAAAGTTCCCAGACAACAAAGAGGATTAAGTTTACGCAACAGATAAACAATCTAAAGTGGCAGACCAGCTTTTGGATCTTGATTGGTCACGAGCAGTGAGTTGTGACGGACTTTGCTCTTTTTCTCAGAAATGTAAATCAATCCCTCCAAGGGGCAGTTGTTTATTTCATTCGATAGCGTCGTTTCGTGTTTGAAACAATCAAGGCACATGAATCTTCCGTAATCGAAGCAATAGTACATCTGAGGGTTGGTTTTACGGCACTGAGAGCAAGTAATGCTACTTGCATCGCCATTTTAGTAGTATCGCATATGGGGGTACCAGACCTTTTTTTGCAAAAACTAATTTGATACCCCACCAACTCTATGCTAATTCCCAGCTTGTGGACAATTTTTTATGACTCCAATAATTTTGATCCATAACAAAATTATAAAATGGTTACTTTTCATGGGCTTAAAATTTGTACACAAACTATGTATTTTTTTAAAGTTGAAGTGCATTTAAATTTTCGCATAATCAAATGGAACAGGAAATAACCAACATAGCGTGTCAAAATTCTCGGTAAGACAGGAAGACCTAATTCTCGGTTAGACAAGAAGTCTATGACGTCATACCACAGGGACGTTCCCGATGAGTCATCAATCTTGCATTGTTTTCAGGTCATAAGACAGTAGTGTGATCTCTCTCGACCAATCAGCAAACTTGTAAATCAGCTTATAATGGTTTGACATTCTCAAACTCGAGACTTTTTGTAGTTGGAAGTTTGTAACTGTATTCTGATAATTGGTGTGCAGGATAATATGGCTAACCCTAATGCTCGTTTAAAATATTTATTCCTCCTCAACAGTGAAGACCCAGTGAAAGCAGTGATAAAGTTTAATGAGTTTTTGAGAGAAGTAGGCGTGCCAGAAGACGAAGCAAATATCGAGAGAAACCTGATCTGGTTTACACCCATTTTCGGCGCTACTTGTCGAGTTACAGCGCTACGCTCGAGTTCGCTACTAACATGCCGAATTCGCTTGCTATGTTAATTCACAGTTTTTGGTTCGTCTTCATCCATAAACCAAGAGTAATACCTATAATTTATACTCCCTATCTCAGTTTTAACCCTGATACCGTAGAAAGATGAAGCTTTTGATAGCTACAATAATAACAATAATAATGATGATGATGATGATGATGATGATGATAAGGATAATATTAACTACGGCAATCACGGTACGGTTTTAATTGTAAGACAGGTATTCAGACAAATGAAGCAAGTTACTTGCTGCTTGATGTTTTTTAAAGGAGACTCCCTAACAATCGACAAACACGAAACGACGCTATCGAATGAAATAAACAACTGACGCCTGGAGGGATTGATTTCCATTTCTGAGAAAAAGAGCAAAGTCTGTCACAACTCACTGCTCGTGACCAATCAAGATCCATAAGCTGGTCTCCCACTTTAGATTGTTTATCTGTTGGGTAAACTTAATCCTCTTTGTTGTCTGGGAACTTTATTTTTAGACAGTTCAGATGGTTAAGAAATTTGTTATTTTATTCGAATTTATTTAATTTATCTACTGATTTATTTTTAAATAAATCAAAGATATTGAAATATCTACTTATTTCCCTAATTATTAACTATTTGAAGGTTTGTATAACGTACAATTCAATTCACTGCTCCAAGAATTATAAAAAGCGTCAGTCTGAAACCCTTATCATCTTGGTACAAACTCTTAAACGAGGGGTACGCTATGCAATATTATGTTTTCGCTGAACGTGCCATGGCTTTGAAATTATGCCACAGCTACATTTTAGTGGTTAAAATCATCGTGATCCTTGGTCACAGGAGGGCAGAGGAGTCGTGCCCGTTTGTGTTTCTAGCTAAATTCACCGTATAATTGTTAAATGACTTGATTTTGCTAATCTACAATAAAGAGCTAATAAATTAAGTCTCTCCTCAAAGAGTTATGTCAGATTTCTGAGTAAACATTACAAAGACCGTCGTAAATGACTTCTCGCACAAGTCACGTTCGAACGGTTTCTTTGTAACATCAGAATGTTCTAGACTGTTTACCCGCATTTAATGAATCTCCGATTGCTTTGAAACTTTAATCTTACACAGTTCTCAACGATATTGTAGTTCGTTGAGAGATATGAAAAAGTTTCAGGGTGTGTCAAGAGAATTCTCTCACAATACAGAGAAAGTCAAGGAATTCAATTTAATTTAATTAATTTAACATAATTTATGTAGCGCTAACTCCACTAATTGACCAATTCAAAACGAAAGGGAAAACCACAAGGCATAATTACTTTTTAGGGCACTTGAGATTTATAGAGGTGATTAAAGCTGTTTAAAGTGTTCACAACATAAATTCTCCCTGTTATCTCCCGTAAATACAGCGAAACAAATCAAGTATTGGACACAGATTAGCACCCATAATGTGATTTACAGGAAAAAATATCTTTATTGGAATTAAATAAATTAAAATAAATAACAAATTGCTAAACCATCTGGACTGTCTAACGACGGACTGACTGACGGACTTTGCTCTTTTTCTCAGAAATGGAAATCAATCCCTCCAGGCGTCAGTTGTTGATTTCATTCGATAGCGTTGTTTCGTGTTTGTCGATGGTTAGGGAGTCTCCTTTAAAAAAACATCAAGCAGCAAGTAACTTGCTCCATTTGTCTGAATACCTGTCTTACAATTATTGCCGTAGTTAATATTTTTCTTATCATTATAATTATCATTATTATTATAATTGTGGCTATCAGAAGCTTCATCTTTCTACGGCAACAGGGTTAAAACTGAGATAGGGAGTATAAATTATAGGTATTGCTCTTGGTTTATGGATGAAAACGAACCAAAAACTGTGAATTAACAAAGCAAGCGAATTCTACATGTTAATAGCGAACTCGAACGTAGCGCTGTAACTCAACAGGCTAAGTAGCGCCGGAAATGGGCGTAAACCAGATCAGGTTTCTCTCGCGAGTGATAATGTTTAACTAAAAACCACTTTACATCGAGCGCGCCAACAAACACGCAGGCTACGTAGCACTTCATTGAATATCCTTTGTTCTGTGTTTCTGTGTTGCGGTCCAAAATCGACAAACCCCTGATAAGCTTTGGCTAGTGTGTGAATAGTTCTCTCATCGTTCCGCAATGCACACTGAAATTAACAAACTATGCTCTCACTTGTAACTGTGCATAAGATCATAGAATCATTGACTCTTAATAAGCCGGCATATGTAGGATTGTGTATTCTTGATCTTTATAAGACATTAATGTATGATTTTCATTATAATTATATCAAACCCAAGTATGGTAACAAAGCAAAAGTATTATAAAAAGACACTGACAGTTGAACTTACGAAATCGAAGCTGAAGATGTGTATAAAGACTTTTGAAAAATACAGATCAATTTGATAATAGTGACTATCCAGAAAATACTCCATGGTTAACGAGACAAAAAAAAAGGGTGGATGGAGAATACAAAGATGAAGCTGCATTTATCCTTATAACTGAATTGGTAAGTGTAAGAAGTAACATGTATTCTCCTATTAAAGATGGTGATGAAAGTGGTAAAACAGCGAAAGGAATAAAGAAAAATGTTTTCAAAAAGAACATCAAACATGAAGACTATAAACATGTATTATTTAATAACAAGCAAATGCATCAGACAATGAAAAGTATCCGAAGTAACAATCATCAACTATGAAGCTATGAGCCTAACAAAGTGTCATTATCTTGCTTCGACTACAAAAGACGACATGTTGAACGGTATAAATTCTTATGTTTATGGTCATTACAGAATCTCAAAAGATGTGACGTTACGACACAGCTGAGGAAGTCTAGTTTTGGATCTAAGGTACTGACGGAGGCGGGCACTGCCTGCTGTTATTTACCAGTTCTTCGCCTATGTGGACCACATGCGCACTTAATAATGATCCATTCGGCAGTCGTTGTTCTCTTTTTCTAAAAAGGACTCCATCTCCGTCCTCAAGCCTTGTCCACTTCAGAAACAAGATGTTCTCCAAATGTACGTCTACGTCGCTCCCGCCCATGTCTCTCACAAATTGTTTAAACCTTGGCTCTGCTCTCACTGGGTCTTCACCGCGCTTGAGGAATAGACATAGTGGAGGAGCATCAGGAGGAGCATCAGGAGGAGCATCAGGGTTAGCCATATTATCCTGCACACCAATTATCAGAATACAGTTACAAACTTCCAACTACAAAAAGTCTAGAGTTTGAGAATGTCAAACCATTATAAGCTGATTTAAAAGTTTGCTGATTGGTCGAGAGAGATCATACTACTGTCTTATGACCTGAAAACAATGCAAGATTGATGACTCATCGGGAACGTCCCTTTGGTATGACGTCATAGACTTCCTGTCTAACCGAGAATTATGTCTTCCTGTCTTACCGAGAATTTTGACACGCTATGTTGGTTGTTAATAAAATAAACAACTGACGCCTGGAGGGATTGATTTCCATTTCTGAGAAAAAGAGCAAAGTCCGTCACAACTCACTGCTCGTGACCAATCAAGATCCAAAAGCTGGTCTGCCACTTTAGATTGTTTACCTGTTGCGTTAACTTAATCTTCTTTGTTGTCTGGGAACTTTATTTTTAGACAGTCCAGATGGTTTAGCAATTTGTAATCTGTCCTCCAAACCTACGTCTTGGGCTTTCCCGCCTATGTCTCTCACAAATGTTTGAAACCTTGGCTGTGTGACAGTAAGCGATGTCAAGCCAGATCAGTGGATCAAGGTATGCTCTATAAAAACATGTTGATGCTAAGATAAGCTACCCAAGCTGTATTATATTGCTAATTGGCAAATTTTAGAAGGTTCTTCTTTCTCATTAAGGAAACTGATCACAATTTTTAATGAAATAGTTCCGTAGTAGTGTCCAACTAGTTTCTGGTTATACGGGTTCGATTCCCGTTGAAATCCAAAAGGTTCATTGTTCTTTTCTGCCACTGATTAAATTGCAGATTACCGGCGGGGATCAATTCTTTGCTTCAATCCCTGTTTCTTTGGCTTCTACCCTCCATTCCTACCATTTGCGATGTTGTGACTGGAAGCTCAACCAGACTAAGCTTCAGATAAAAAAAAATTGTTGGTGAGATAGGCCACTTCATCAGTTCTCATAAATGAATCTGCTTTTATTTCTTCTGTCATTTAGTTAAATCAGGCCAAGTTGGTTTCTACCGAGTACAGTTCTCGTCCGACATGTTGAAACTTCTCTTGACGGCCATAAAGGACAACAGTCTTCCACCATGGGACAGATTAGGACTGGAGAATGATCTGTTTGCATTGGTATGTACATGTGTACTGCAGGATAGCTATGGAATGAGGACGGGGAAAGGAGAAGTGTGCTCCAGAATTCGTAGAATGTTTACCTCCGCCATCAAAAATTGTACGGAATAATTTACCCTTTTAGCGCGTTTTTAGACTCTAAAGGGTTTTCCATTCAGCTCCGCTTTCGCCTTACATCCTTACAACCTTTTGACTTTTATTATCAACGAATTCCCAGGGCGGCAAAGATGCAATGAGTGTTGTTGACGAAAGTCAGAGCAATCACAACAGCCAATCAAAAGAAAGACAAGTATCACAAGCAGCCAATAAGACTGCAAAGTAAAAACAAGCAAACTGCCTAAAGCATGGGAAAACGCGAGTGACCAGTTCGCGACTAGCTTTACTTGGTTGAGAGGTTGGGTCGAGTTTTTTGCACCAATCACGAGGCACAGTGAACAAAACCAAATTAAACCGACACTCAATAGAAAACTGCTGAAATGTGACTCGCGATTTTGAACTCACCACTCTAATGCTTGCTTTTGTTCTCTGTAGTGTCGTACTCGCCTTGTTCCCGGGCATGATGTGCTGAAAGTGGTCAAGGCATTTAGCAACGAGACAATCAATACCGTATGGAATGACTTGATTTCCAACACGAGTCTTGTCGGAGCAACTCTCCAATACACTTACTGTTACCCAAGCTTCGAGGCTTCGGTCACTACTTGTGACTTTTATCCTTGGAAGATGTGTCAGGGAATCTTAACGTTTTTGTAGTGTGTTAGTGGTCCACGCTTTCTTTTTATTTAATTGTTTCTGTTTCATTCTTAGTCCTACAGCACAACCATTTACTTTTAGGAATGAAAGTAAGCAGTATCATTTGTGTCAAGTATTCTGTAAACGATACTGACAACATTTAATCCTTTACACCCTAACTTCAGTGAGCATAGTTCTCTGTACTCTTCTCCTTACACTTCTACGGTGCTTCAAAGGAGAATTTATTTAACAATCAAGAGCTACTGTAGTTGGGGATCATTTCCTTTACTCTCTCTGACCTCAATGTATGATTCAGGGGTTCTACTGTAAAGAGGAAATAAGATCCTAGTCAACCTATAGATTGAAAAGTATAAGTGTGTGGATGAACCTTACTAGGCGTGTTATTCAATGTCAGGTCACCTTGATGCCCTCCTCAGAGGTTTGATAATCGAACGTCTGGGTAAATATGGTGACCAAGCCACTGTCGCCGAGGCGCAGAAGAGATTTGAAGAACACTGGAAAGGTGAATCCACCATTCCGGCTGACTTAAGGTCTGCGGCGTACAGCACAGTGTTCAAACATGGTGATGGTAACACCCTAGAGTCTGTGATGCAACTTTTGAAAGAAGCTGATCTGCTCGAAGAGAAAGTCCGATTGATGAGATGTATGGGAGCTGTGTCACAACCTGATCTGATCAAGAAAGTGTGCGACTTCTCCTTGTCGGTGTGTTTTTTTTAAACTGTGAATAAAAAAAAATTTTTTTCACCGTTAATAACATAGCATGCCATCAAATTTGCCTTTACTCAGATACTCCATGGTTAGATCATGTATCTTTCGCAACAGAACTTTGTAAGACTATCAGGTGCATCTCTATTGCGTGACGGAAAATCAAACTGAAAGTGATACAATGGCCAATCAAAACAATGGAAAATACCTCAAATAACCAATGAGATCTCACATACAGTTATTACAAGCAGGCTTCCCTAAGCGCGGGAGAATTCAAAGAAACAATCGTGCGTGGTGTTATTTCTGCTTCTGATTGGCTGACATTGTGGCCAATTACAGAGCGAAGCCACTGCAATCCTAGACAAGCCTCCATACTCAATCGAAAATCTCGTTCACAGTCCTGTCTTACATAGATCAAGCAAAGGTAGTGTAGAAACCATTTATGGTATCTGACTACAAGCTTTAACCCTTTAAACCCTAACAGTGACTAGGATCTAATTTCTCCCAACGATATCACCCCTGAATCTCACATAAAGGTCATGAGAATGAAGAAAATGATTACCAACTAAAAGAAGCTTTTTATCAGCAACAAAATCTCTCTTCTTTCGCTAATGTGTAGTGTGAAAGGGCATGAAATGGCTCAGAAATTTAATCGAGAGAACTTGGACGAGCTGCACAATCGCCATGAAGGAGGTTTCTTGCTTTCTCGCCTGATCAAGGTTGGACAAAGTCTTTTATTTCTTAGAGCGCATTTAGATTAAGTGTTTTAAAATCAAAACCAAACGAATCACTGAGACCAATGAAAATAAAAGAAAAACGTTTTAGGAGGCGGATAGAACAAAATGTTAACTCATGCTAACTGCCCGAAGCTCAGAAAAACGCGAGCGACCATGGTGCGATTTAAATAGTGGATCTACGAAAGGCTAGCGCCAGTTTCCTTAAAAATTTTCGTAGCAGAGTAGAACAAAACCAAAGCAGTTATTAAACTGAAATTTCTCAAAGGTAATTAGATTATTCTGGAACGCGCTGGTTACGTTTGGTTTAAGAGAGGGATAACCTCTTCTGCTTTGCTTATTTTTTTTTCCGTTTTATTGCAGTCCACTACAGATATGTTTATCACTGAAGAGGCTGCCAAAGAAGTCGAGGTGAGCTGCTTATGTAGACGGATTAAAAAAATTAAAGCGCCTTTGTCAAATTTCGCTGGCTTAGTGTGCTGCCTAGGATTTCCCTTTTATCCTTTTTTTTTTTTTTTTTTCAGGAACTCTACCCCAACCATTCAGTGCCTGCTGCAGAGAGGACCATTCAACAGTCCTTGGAGAACATACAACTCAATTGCGCGTGGCTTGGGCGCAAATCATTTTATAATGCAAGAGATTGGTGAAATCTCTAAAAAACATACATATAAAAATAAAAAAGTGAAGATAAACCAATGTCAATGTCATATCCAACAATATGGAAAAATATAAGAGTCTTATGCTTGGAGATCATCTGGTCTTCATTGATAGTTCCCAATTTATGTGCTCCATTCTTTATAAATTAGTATCAGTATTAGTATTAGTATCGGTTAGTAATCTGCCTGAGGAAGCTTTTTACTAAGCACCCTACCTCCACCTTCCAATAAGCACCCCTCTCTCCAATAAGGAAGGAAATTGTTAGCATCTCCTCAAGTTGAAAGATTCTTCACATTAACATCATCACAATGGTATATAAACTGTAAATGTAAAAGGGAATTAATACTGTATTCATGTACTGGTTCGGTATCAAACCTCATTAAAGTATTACCTAATCTCAAATTTTGCAGCAATCACTTGATTATCATACAAATATTTTGGCATGTCAGATACACAAAGGAAGCAAAATTTTAATCGAAGATAGAATTCAACCTGCAAGTGAACACAGTTACATATTATATATATTTCTTTAGTCCTACCACGGTTATATTACCTCCACATCGATAACTTCTTCTCCAGTTAAGGTAAATTCTGTAAGATTTGGTTGCAAAGTCAGTTTGTAGTTCTTTAGCAGCACGCTTAGTCGTTCAAAAGGTTTTTACACTGCTCATTGTTGTTGTGACGATGCTGAAGCGCGTAATGGAATACAAAAAAACTGATACCCTAGCTCCAAGGAAGCAGGAAGTACCGAAACAGAAGCCTGAGAAGAATTCCGATGGTATATTGCTTGGAAGAGAAATGAAAACTGTAATCATGCGCACTTCGAGAAACAGTTTACCCCAGTGCCTTTCGGATTCCGTCACGCATGTTTTTAATGTGTGACACCTTAAGGGTAACGCAACGAAAGAGAATGGTTAATCAACTGGATACCTTTATTTGAATCTAAGCTTTGGGATCGAAAGTCGTAAGTTTTCATCTCCCCACTTTTGATTCCTTTTATAGAGTTCTGCGAATAGACTGTGATTTTATGTTTCTCTTACAAATGTTGGGCGGGAAATCGGCGCACAACTGGCCAAAATTATTATTGATCTCACTCGCGCGTGTCCGACGTTTGACCGCTGTGTTAATTAAGAGTGGGTGGCTGTTACTGCGCCTGCTGCTAGAAAATGTTCTCTTTAGAATGAAGAAAATTTTATTTGATGGGGGCTTCACCTAACTTGCAGCCAGCTTGCGTTTGGGAGAGAGGGGTGGAATTTCTGTCATTCTTTTTTTTTCTTTTTGATCAAGGCGTCGTCCATGACAGAACTAAGATCCATATCTTCCTTTGGAAATCACAATGTCACGCAAAGCCTTATCTGCTTCTTTTGGGGAATATCTGCAAGGCATCCTAGAGGATAGTTGCGAAGGAGACTATTTAACCACAGGTGAGTTTCCACCGCATTCTTGAAGAACAAGTAGACTAAAATTAGGGAAAAAACATCTCGCGGGAAAGTTTGAATTTAATTATAGGCTTAACGTCTAAAATTCACTCAAGCAAGTGTGCAGAGCTTCTCTCTTCTCTTTAGTTCTATCGCTTAGGGATACATAATGGTTCGAAGGATTTTTTTCCTTTTTTTTTTAAGGGGGTGGGGTTAACATAACTCCCCCCCCCCCAAAAGGGGGAACGGGGTGGGAATCAGCCTAATTCTATCGTGACATGACTAAAATTCCTCCGACCCCTCCCAGATGACAAATGACCGCTGTCTCTCTGCGTGTGACAAAAGAAAAAGGAGAGGACACATCTGTATGCAGGCTTTTTAGCACAAAGTAATCATCCTGGGCGAGGACTTTTCGTCGCGTAATTTGAACTGATTCTCTTTCTACTAAAAGTCTGTACTAAGAATGAACATCGGTTTGTTTGACGCGGGTCACGTGCATCTAGTATCCTTTTTCCTTGAGCCATGCGCTGATCTTCTCTGATTCGCGCCCAAGCCATGCGCAGTTGAGTCGTATGTTCTCCAAGGACTGTTGAATGGTCCTCTCTGCAGCTGGCACTGAACGGTTGGCGAAGAATTCCTAAAAAGAAAATAATAAGATAATCCTGGGTCGCTCACTACGCCAGCGGATTTTGACAACGGCGTTTTCATTTTTTTTAACCCCAACTTAAGTTTTCCGTTCACACTGGGAAACAGTTAAGATATTTTACACCACAGAAGATATATTTGAAGACCAAAAAATCGATGGCAAAATAAGTTTGGTTATATCCTTAGACATGCGAATAACTGGATCTAATATTACAGCCAAAACATAACAATAACATTGAAAAAGCTTCGTTCAGCCTCCTTTCCGCGAGGGAGACAGAAAGGAGCATGGTAAGGAGTTTGGCCTCGTTTCGTCTTCTTCACCACATCAGTGAGCAAGCGCATAAACAGGGTATGTTGACCCAGCAAAAAATATGATATGAACAATGCCGTCGTTTTTTATTTTTTTCTTCTTCTTCTCTTTCTTTTTTTCGCATTTTTTAAAATTCTATTTCGTTGCAGCGTTATGTCAGCTGGATATGAATGCAAAAGGAAAAGAATCTATACGACAAATCATAGAAAAAATAGAGTTTAGAAAATTTGCTCAAATAACTGAGTGAATGAGTAGCTCACCTCGACTTCTTTGGCGGCCTCTTCAGTGACAAACATATCTGTAGTGCACTGCAATAAAAACGAAAAAAGAATAAGCAAATATATGAACTTGTTATAAAGCCGACTTTTCCCCGGGCAGAAGTCATCCCACTACAAAACCAAACGTAACCAGCGTGTTAAATATAATCTTCTTACTTTTGAGAAATTTCAGTTTAATAACTGCCTTGGTTTTGTTCTACTATGCTACGAACACTTGTTAGGAAAACTGGCGCTAACCTTTCGTAGATCCACTACTAAAATCGCACCATGGTCAATCGCGTTTTTCCGAACTTCGGGCAGTTAGTATGAGTTAAAATTATGTTCTATCCGTCTCCTAAAACGTTTTTCCTTTATTATTATTGGTCTTTGTGATTCCTTACGTTTTGGTTTTAAAATACTTTATCTAAACGTGCTCTAGGAAATAAGAGACGTTATCCAACCTTGATCAGGCGAGAAAGCAGGAAACCTCCTTCGTAGCGATTGTACAGCTCGTCCCAGTTCTCTTGCACAAATTTCCAGGCCATTTCACGCCCTTTCACACTACACATCAGCGAAAGAAAAAAATAAACGAACATTCTCAGTCTTCACAAACCATGATGGTAAATAATAAAAAATAAGAGAGAGCCGCTACCTTCCACAGATGCCAGCAATCACAAACACTGTGTCTTGAGACCGAACTTGATCCTAAAAAAAAAAGAAAAAAAAGAAGGTATGTTATTGGGTAATGTGCCGTATAACGATTTTCAAAGACATACAACTCTTAACCCTTTCCACCCTAACATCAGTCTGCATATTCTCCATACTGTTCTTTATACATTTCCTAAGGTGCTGAAGAGGAGATTTTGTTTACTGATCAAAAGCTTCTTTTAGTTGGTGATCATTTCCCTTATTCTCATGACCTTAATGTGTGATTCAGGGGTGATATTGTTGAGAGAATTTAGATGCTAGTCACTCTTAGGGTTTAAACGGTTAAAGCATGTAGTCAGATACCATACATGGTTTCCACACTGCCTTGACGGTGAAAAAAAAAGTTTATACACAGTTTAATAAAACGTACCGACAAGGAGAAGTCGCACACTTTCTTGATCAGATCAGGTTGTGATACAGCTCCCATGCATCTCATCAATCGGACTTTCTCTTCGTGCAAATCGGCTTCTTTCAAAAGTTGCATCACAGACTCTAGGGTGTTTCCATCACCATGCTTAAGAACTGTGCTGTACACCGCTGATCTTAAATCCGCTGGGATGGTGGATTCACCTTTGCAGTGTGCTTCAAATCTCTTCCGCGCCTCGGCGACAGTGGCTGGGTGACCGTATTTACCCAAACGTCCAATAATCAAACCTCTGAGGAGGGCATCAAGGTGACCTGAAATTGAATAACAAGCTTAATGAATGATACTGCTTAGTTTCATTCTTTCAAGCTAATGGTTGTGTTTCAGGGTTAAGAATAAAACAAAAAAAAACGAATCAAAAGAAAGCGTGGACCACTGACACACTACCAAAACGTCACCAACACTTTCATCGACGCATCAGCAAGCGCGTTGTTTGATCGGATCCATTGTCACCCTGGAAAAAGAAAAGTATTTACGAAAATAACAAAAAAGGGGAAAAACAGACTTACTCTCTCCTTCGATTGGATTCCAACCAAGTTTGGTGCCGATTGGTTCATAAAGTTTGGTACAAAACGCCTGGAAGCTAGGGTAACAGTCTGAGTACTGGAGAATTGCTCCGACATGACTTAAGTTGGAAATCAGGTCATTCCATACAGTGTAATTTGTCTCGTTGCTAAATGCCTCGACCACTTTCAGCACATCAGGTCCGGGCACAAGGCCAGCACGACACTGCAGAGAACAAAAGTAAACATAAAAGGGCTTAGTTCAAAATCTTGAGTCACATTTGAGCAGTTTTCAATGAGCGTCGCATTGACTTGGTTTTGTTTACTCTGCCATGTGATTGGTACAGAAATCTCGAACCATCCTGTCAACCAATCACATTCAAAAATAAAACCAATCGCGATCTGGTCACTCGCGTTTTCCCGCGCTTTAGGCGGTTTGTTTGTTTTTACTTTGCGTTCTCATTGGCTGCTTGTGATACTTTCCTTTCATCCGATTGGCTGTTGCGATTGCTCTGACTTTCGTCAATAACACTCATTGCATCTTTGCTGCTCTGAGAATTCGTTTATCATAAAATTCACAAGATTGTAAGGACGTATGGTGAAAGTAGAGCTAAATGGGAAAATCGCTTAATCTGACATAAGCATGCTTAAGGCTATTTTGGAAAGGCTTGGTAACCCTTAGAATCTCAAAACGCAGTTACAGTAAATTATTCCATACAATTTTAAGAGGCGGAGGTCAACATTGTGCAATTTCTGGATCACAACACTTCTAATTTCACCATCCTCATTCCATAGCTATCTCACAGTACTCATGTACATACCAACGCAAACAGATCATTCTCCAATCCTAATCTGTCCCTTGGTGGAAGACTGTTGTCCTTTATGGCCGGTAGGAGAAGTTCCAACATGTCGGACGAGTACTGTACTCGGTAGAAACCAACTTGGCCTGGATTTAACTAAACAGCAGAAGAAATAAAAACAGATTAATTTATAAGAACTGATGAAGTGGCCTATCTCGCCAACAATTTTTTCATCTGAAACTCAATCTGGTTGGGCATCGCAAATGGCAGGAATTGAGGGTATAAGTCAAAGAAACGGGGATTGATGCAGGAAATGATCCTCCAGTTGGACTGTAATTTAATCAGTCGCAAAAAGACCAATAAAACTTTTAGACTTCAACGGGATTTGAACCCAGAGTTGTCTCCCAGAAACTAGTTGGACACTATTGTCAAACTATTTCATTAAAAATTGTGATCAGATTCCTTCATGGGAAAGAAGAGCTTTTAAAAATTTTCCAATTAGCAATATAATACAGCTTGGGTAGCCTGTGTTGACATCAAGATGTTGTTATGGAGCATACCTTGACCCATTCATCTGACTTGACACCACTGACTGTCAGAGTACAGGACTTCTGATCCAACAGAGTACTTGCTACACTTTCACGAGGGTTTGCACTGGATGATATGCTTACAGGTACTTGCCAGTGGTAAGACCCTGCAGTGAACAAATTTAAAGAAAAAAATGATCTCTTATAGACAACTTCACAGCAGGTTAGTGGTAAAGAATCAAATCAAGAAATTCAAGCATGAAACTTTGGAACAGTTTTCAACTGAGCGTTAAATGAGTTTACGTTAAGAATTGAATGCAATTCATAGTTGCATCGGTTTCTCTTCATTGCATTCTTTGGCTGGTTGAAAGAAGTTACACCCCTTTTTTACGCATTCAAATGTCAACTTCTTCTTTTCTACGATTGCTAAATTGCATCTCATCTGCGAGGACCATTGCTTTACTTGATTTTCAATCCGCAGGTTAAACTAAAATTAATTTCATAACAAACTGTGATTGACTACATGTAGGTCACTCGCGTTTCCCGCGCGTTAGATCGTTGATCTGCATTTACTTTGAGTTTCCTAAGCTCATCCTAAATTTTCTTCACTTCTGATTGGCATTGGTGATTACATAACGGCATAGCTGTATAATGAACGCTTGCCTCGAGTCCCAAAACAATCTGTTGCAAAATAATCCGGTCCGAGCAGTTACAAACCGTAAATTGCTATTTCAAACTCCATACCTTGACTAACTCCATCGGCAAAGAACTTGTCCTGAGTGATAGTAACCTCTCTTGAATCTCCTTTCTGAAAAACGAAAAACACAGCAAGCTGATAACATTCCTTTAACATTTCCTTCCCAAGATCTTTCCAAGATCTAAAAACAATTTCTGCTCTACCTAACCGACATTTCTTAAAATTTCAGCTCCAGAAATCTTGCGTTTAATCACACAATATCCCCTTGTTGATATTTTTCTATTTTTCCAAACCTTTCTACCTAAAAACGTATTCATATCATAAAGAACAAATTCATTTCTGACCACTCCTGAGAGTTGTAGAGCTAAGACAGGTAAAGAAGACAAGCTAACGAAAAAGGCCAGAGTTTACAACCCGCATTAGTACTCAGACAGCGCATTCCGTAATGTTGACATGCGCCCAAAGTTTTCATGAAAAACTACCGATACTTTGCTATCCAAGGTACACTTGAGTTATAACCAAAGTTTTCATTACCGAACAGGTGTCACTGACTCTCTAAAATGAGGAGCATTTCACCACTCTCGAATAACTGGTGGAAATCCTCTTCCAGAAAAGAGATCGAGTGCAGAATATTCATACACACACGCACACACCTGTTCAGCGGTAACAGACAACACGCACACACCTGTTCAGCGGTAACAGACAACACAGGATATCCCATTTGTTTGGTCCATGTTTCCATGACATCAGCTACAGGCTTCGAACTGGCGCGAGACAGACTGGCCCAGAGGTCCTCTGAAAGAGATTTATTCAAACAATCTCACTAACAATCCCAAATGACAGAATATAATCTACACCAGATCATTATTTTTCCAATGTCTGGGATGAAATTCGAGATCTCAGTTAGCAAATCTGAACTGGAAAAAAATTGTAAACAAAAAAAATATGCAAAACATAGTTACCAGTTGAGGCATTGCTGTACTTAAATTTGTCCAGATGATAGGCAAGTCCTTCTCTGAAAGCCTAAAACAAAAGATAAAGCATCAAATGGAAAATCACGTACTAAAAGCATGTGACAGTACAGCATGTAAAAGCATGATCCAGTCCCTTAAGTGTTAACCCTTTACACCCTAACATCAGTATGCATATTCTCCATACTGTTCTCTATACATTTCTTAAGGTACTGACAGGGAGAATTTGTTTAACAATCAAGAGCTTTTTAGGCTGGTGTTTATGATTTAGAGTTGATAGTGTAGGATAAAGATAGATGCTGGTCACTCTTTAGGGTTAAAGGCTAAAAATCAACTGGACATAACCTGCAGAACTCTTGAATAAGATTAGGAAGAGGCATGAGGAGCCAGAGTAAGTCTATTGTTGGAACATACCTTTTCTCCTACATAGTCATGCAGCATCCTAATGACAGCAGCTCCTTTGCTGTATGAAATGGCATCAAATATCTCATCGATCTCACCTGGATGACCCACAGGGACCTGCATAATGGAGAAGAATTTAAAAACTGGGCAAACTAAAACAGGTACACAATTGCTACACATGAAAAGTGTAATCAAGATGCAACACTGACATCTCTAGACTGATTTTCAAGTAAATGTATTAACAGCATCTACATTGTAATGTGAAAAATGATGAATCAGATCTTAAGAAATGCATGACTAGCAACCAGCTGCATGTGCATTTATGCAATAAATACAGTTATTTCATACATACTGAGATTTACACTATGAGGTACTATCATTCATGGCTCTGATTGGACAAACTATGTATTTTTGGAGTCGTTCACTTCCTACTTCACAGTATAAATCTCGCTATGAACAAAATAAATGCATCATACCATGGAAAGTGTTTGAACAATTTTTATTCTTTAGCTGCGATGCATCAAAAAACTCCTCTTTTGCTGTGCTCACTTGTTAGGTTTTTTTTTAAATGCATTTTAACTTGTAAATAAAAATCGTTCATGCACACTTTCCCTAGGTAAATATCTATGCACAGTAACTTGTACTAACCTCAATTGGGTGACTTGAAAAGTGCAGATATGAGAGAGAAAGAAAAGGAACTTGTTACTCTATGTACAGTATATTAACCTCATCCCACCAGTGACCAAGACAGAATTTTTCCTTACAATATCAATACAATATCAAGCTGACAAATAATGAGAATTTAAAAAATCAATCAGGAGATTATGAGTTGATCCAAAACCAAATTCTCTGAACTAACATCATAAGAATTGTATCAAAGATAGTAAGATGAATTACTATTGAGATCTTGGGAATGAAAGGGTTAGAGAAAAACCAGTAAAGGAAAAGGAAATGCTTGGAAACTCATTGGTTTAAAGCAACTGTGTGAGCCTAAAGATGAAACAATCAAATTTTACAAACAATCATTTTAAGAGGAAACTCTACCTGTTGGCAAGAGCATCCAGTTCCATAGCTCGTGAGAATTCAGATGTAACAAACTGTGTCCAGATGTCCCATTCAGGAAAACAGTGATCCACACACAAGTATTCAATCCATGATGCAAATCCCTCATTGAGCCATAAATGTGTCCACCATTCCTACAAGCAAAAAGAAAGAGAGAGAGTGAAAAATCTGAAGTTAAAAGGCATCAATAAAATTAGGTAAAAAGTCTGAACACAAGCCAAGTGGCCTGGTTTCCTGACTTCCTTAAGATGAAGTGACTAAGAGTATTACTACTTCCCCCTGGATGGGATGCCAGTCCATCACAAGGTTTCCCCCTCCTCCACTATTTCATCAGGCTTCCCTGACAATTCACAAATACTCATATAAACTCCTGGGGGAAGAGGCACTATGAGAGTAAAGTGTTTTGCTAGAGAACACAACACATTGACTTAGCCAGGTATTGTACCCAGACCTCTTGACCTGCAGTCCAGTGCACTGACCATCAGGCCAGTCTGTCTCCCAATAAAAGTTACTTTAACTGTTAAACGTAAAACAATGTAATTTACAAAGAGATTGAAGAGAACAACCATTTATCCTTGAAAGAAAAATAGTCACAGCATTTCATCAATAAAAATGAGCATACCATAGTTATCTGAAAAAAAAAGAAAAAGAAAAACAGATTATAAACACAAACATCATTTTCACCAACATGCAGCTAATGCAAAAAGCCTAAATAAGATTTCTCCCTCTCACTTATTACCCCCTACCCAGCCCTCCCCCTGCCCCCTCCTTCTGCACACGCCCTTCTGCACCCACTCTTCTGTCCCCACCCCCTGCTCCCTCCCCTCCAATAAGATTGCCTCTTCAGCTGGCTACTACAGTAACTGTAGGTTTTCCAAATACTCTGTACTCAGTACTCAAGAAAGATGGATAACATAAGATCAAAATTTTGACATTCAAAAGCCCCCAGAAAATCCTAAAAAATTACTATTGCTCCCACAAACTTATAAGAGCATTAACTGTAAAAAATATATAATATATTATATACATAAAGTAGCTCAAGTCTGAAAGTTCTTTTGTCTTTTAGAATAAATGGTCAGAAAACATTAATAATGAAAAAGAGACTGTCTATCAGCATTACTATACAAACTGTGGATCAATATCAGTATCTGGGCAACTGCCCACCTACCCCTCCCCTAACTCAACAACAGTCAATTGATAACAAGTTAGGGTTAATGCTGGGTTAGGGGAGGGGTAGGTGGGCAGTTGCCCAGATACTGATATTGATCCCAAACTGTCAGGGAACTGTTTAACACTTACCAGATTTCCAAACCACTGATGAGCTATTTCATGACCTTTGAAATAAAGAAACCAAAATCAAATTACTTTTTTTTTTACAATTTATTAATTAAGAATTTCTCAAAATAACTCACCAACAACCAGTCCAACCCACTGTTTGGCAGCAGATGATGAGTTTTCTGGATCAACGAGAAGAGCAGTTTCCCTAGGAAAAGATTTTAAAAAAAAATGATGAGAACAAGTAAGCTCAATTGGAGGGCTCAGAGCAAGAACGACCCCTTGATTTTTCGGCCATTTTTGAAAGTGTTCAGAAGTAGTTGACAACTACTTCTGAAGACTTTCAAAAATGGCCGAAAAATCAAGGGGTCGTTCTTGCTCTGAGCCTTTCAATTGGTTGTGGTTCAATCTAATTGTCTACAAATGCTTTAAATCACTTGTTGTAACTGGTAGGTTGAGGATAAACCGCCCAGCATATTGATAAAAAAACAAAGGGGGCAAGTTTCTAAAGAAACTGTGGTGTTGCATTGGTGAGAGAGTATAACAGGATAATTTAGTATCATCAACTGAGTTAATAACTTAAATTGGCCACTGAAAAGAGTTTCAAAGCTGAAGTTTTCAGCATTAGCCCTTCATCAGAGCATTAGCCCTTTCTCATTTGCTTTGACAAAGGGCTAATGCTTGAAACAGCAGCTTTGAAACTCTTTACAATATCAGCTCAGCTGATAATGCTAGATTACCCTGTTAAACCTCGCATATTGTTCACATGTTAGCTGACAAGAACTTCAAATTTTCTTTCATCAGTGTTTTTTTTTTTTTGCCAGCCTTCTGGTACCAATAAACCCTTTAATTCCCAAAAGTGACTAACTTCTGATTAACTGCATTATCCTGCAAACAGGAAATAAGAATACTCATACTTATCGGATAGAAGTTGTAATCTTAATCTAAATTTTTGTTCCTCATTTTAAAAGAAATGTGTGGCAGCTAGGAAGGAGAATTAGCAGTCAGATCTTGGGAGTTAAAGGGTTCATACTCCTTGGAAGAAAATGGCACTGCAAGGACAAAGTATTTTGCAGAGATGCCTTAGCCAGAAACTCAAACTCAGAACTTTCAACTCAGAGTCTAATATGCTGAAGATTAGACAACTGAACTGCATCTCCCACCATTTATGAGAACTAACCTGTAAGTCACCAGACCCCAGTTTTCCATAGCTCCTACAATAAAAGAGATCAATCACAGCAATATTTAAAAGAAGGAAGCTGAAAATCATTTATGTCAGCTAAAAAAAATCAAATTAAAATATAGACTTAACATTTCACAAGAAAAAAAATGCCAATGCAGGTTAGGGTTGGGTACACACTGGTATAAGCAAAAACGACATCAGAACACATCTATTGTGGTGAAAACTACAAATTTAAGGAAGAAGATTTTTGACAGTTTTCACAGACTTAAGTTCTACTTGGAGTGGAAGGACATAAGCCACAGACATTTCAAGATGATTTTCATTCACTTCTTGAATATCAGAGGCAATGCAGTTTTGAGATATGCACGCCACATCTTAACTCTTCCATAACACCCCTACATCCTCCATTGTCCATTCTCAATCCTCGATCCTCAATCCACCAATCTTGAAAGTTTTGAGGATTGAGGATAAAGTTTCCAGTTGATATTGTCAACTTACTGTTAAAGTAGCATCTGGTTCAAAAGCTTACTCAGGCAAGAAAAATGAGAGACTTGAGGAGTGTATTGTCCATTAATAATGATGCCTCTAACCTGCTGCAAAATCAGGAATGGCAATCAGGTCCATTTTGGGCAAAGGATAGCTGATTTCAAAGTACTCTTTATAAAATGGTAGTGTCTTTTGGGCAACCTGTAAAATTTACAACCAAATAATTGTTTTCATCAAAAGAGCTATAATTATTATTTGTAATCTGTAAGTGAAAATAGGAAGCTAGGATAAAAGTGAGCAAAAAAAGAAACCAAATATGTGAACAAATAAAGAAAGATAACAAAAAGAGAAATGTTCTGAGGGAACATTGAGAAGAAAAAAATGAGTGATGAGTCAACTGTCCAAATGTTATATATATGTTTAACCATGGAATAAGGGGGTTATTATTTCACTATCATTTCAAAGTCTAGTATTCAATGGCTTCTAGTTTTCAAAATACCTCCTTGAATGGCCTTGAATCAATTGCAGAAGGCATAAGCAAAAGACCAAAACAACACATTACAAAACCATTAAATGTGCTTAAAAGTTTCTTGCTCAAAAATATACGCCTAAAAAAAGGAAAAAAATCAAATCAAACTTTGGATCTTTCACTGAGGCTTTTTTGTTGCTCCACTTTCCATTGCTCTTTCCAGTATCCTCATTCTGTAATATGGCCTCATAGTGGAATAATAAATGTGTAAAGAAACTGTAAATCAAAATAACATTTTGCTCACAATATCTCCCACAGAGGAAAGCTATCAACTAACCTCTAAAGCAAACTGTCCCTGAATGGTTTTTCCCTTTGGAGTATAAACTCTGATTAAAACACCATCAGAATCTTTTCCTTCCACGTAATCAAACTCGCCAACAACAAAAGCCACAAGGTACGTAGACATGACTGGTGTTCTGGCATATGTCACCACTTTAAGAGAGGCATCCTCTGCATCTTTTTCTTCCACAACATTCTGTGGTGTGGAATAATAATTACAATATAATTAACAAACAATACAAGGGTCATAGTTACAAATTTCTGCACCCCTCATGGGAAGTGGAGAAATTCTGTCTTCAAGATGGTCTTTCATGTGACTTTAAGGGTTAGCAAATCTCTAACACAAATTCATGGCATGTGCGTGGAGTGAAGTACTAGGAAAGAAGAGCACCTCCCTCCTATGAACACAGCCACTTGTATTCCAGCTCTTTACTCAACCCCAAACTTCTTGATCCAAGTTCCAGCACAACAACAACTAGGACAACAAGTCACTCATTAATAAATACTTTAATTATTAATTATCTAGGGTGAATAATTTCACAACAGTATGGAGTCACAACAATTACCATGTTGGATAGAGCAACCCTGTCTTTTGGCACTACCAAAGTGATGTCAAAAGTGGCTTTGTGAGCTGGTTCATCCCAACAAGGAAAAGCTCGTCGGGCATCTGTTGGCTGAAAAAGACAAGTAGAGCCAGTTAGTACTAGAACATAGTTTCCTAGAGGGTTCTTTAAATTGTCCAAAAAGTTCAGTGTTCTGAGGTGCAACTAGTTTGATCACATGGCAAAATGCAAAACATTTCAAGACCTTCGATAGCAACTCTGGTTGCAATTTGGCAACCAGTATCAGAGGTTCACATACAATGTAACCAACTAAAAACTTCTGTCAGTAAGTATTAACCCCTTCACTGCCTGCATGACATACTGAGTGTGTCACACAATTGACATATTGTGTGCCTACATACAAACTCAGGACATCAAAAGTTAAAGAGTAACAGTCTGATCTCTGGCACTGGTAATGACTGAAAACTGAAAAATAACCTGGCCCCTAAATCTCAATACAGGTCAAAATTCTCAAAAATAGAGAGCCAAATTTGCATTCGCACAGGACTTCACAGTGGGGTTAGCAGTTCACCCTTTAAGCCTTTAGGAGTGACTAGCATCCAATTTCTCTGCAGTATCACCCCTGAATGAAACATTAACATCACAAGAAAAAAGGAAATGATCACCAACTTAAGACCCCATTGATTGTTAGACAAATTCTCCCTGTAAGTGCCATGAGAAGTTATCATTAGAGGAGAATGTAGTATGTATGGAGAAGATGCAAAATGATCTCAGGGTGTAAAGGGTTAAAGGCTCAGAGGTCTACAGTTGAATCTGGGAGAAACATTTATTATATTTTATTAGTTTCATTCTTTCATTCTGTTAGGAAAAGCAATCCTTAAGATGTTCCATTAGCCTGCAAAAATGCATGATGGCTGGCTTATTTCTTCTTTTTTTCTACAGCACCTAAACTTCCTACTCTAACCAGCAGCCATTTTATAACTATAAATAATAAAATGCCCCTACTCTCTCTAAACCAGCATTATCCCTAGCTCTAATCAGAGTATTTACATAGAGGTTTCAAAGACTTTTTCCCATAACCAGCAGCCAATGGTGTAATAGTCTGCTGTACAACAACGCAAAATCTGAACACGAGAACCAGATTGCAGGTTAAGTAAATGGCAGTGACAGGTCTTATCAGTAGACAAGGACAGACTGTCAGTAACTGGCTTTCATTGAATTCCCTGATTAAATTAAACATTAAATCCAACCTTGATTCGGTTTGTATGAAGATTGATTGTTGTAAATGGAAATAAATTTTTGAAGAACTTAACGTTTGCTCAAAATGGTACTATACTGGGGTATTACATCTTTCCATTTAGGTTTTCTTGTACACAATGTTGTGTGACCAGTTTTCCATACATGTATCTGGGTTGTACTTCAAGTTGAAGTTTCTGAATATTAAACTGCCATCTTGATCTTGTCTTCATTATTTTCTGGACGTTGAGCTAATGCAATACAGTTATAAACATAAGATTACAACACACAAACCTCAAACTGTGTGACTGCACAATACTTCTCACTTCCATCTGTTCCAGTATATTTACTTCGGTAAAATCCTTTCATTTTATCATTTAATTCTCCTGTGAAGTCCAGGAATAGCTGACCATTCCCCAAGGGGAGAGATGAGGGGAAGCTGATTGTAGTTGTTTCATCCTCTTTACTGTAGGTGATTTCAGAAGAGTTGACAGCTACCGGTACATGAGAATATTGAAAAAGTTATCACTTTAAGAAACAGATTCCGCATTGCAGTCCATTGGTTCAGTAATAGATCACAGATGGCATCAAAATTTGGGATGGACAAAATTGAGGCATGAACTTACTTGATCCACCAGCTGAGAAATTAGCAGACTTAACAACGATGTCCAAACAGTTCATAGTCACTTTGTCTGTAGTCTGTTGAACCTATAACGAATATTAGAACAGCATCATAGCTCTGAAAACTAACAACAATTTATTCCTACTGGTGTTGTACATCAAAGAAATAATCATTTACTCTTCCTGATCTCATCCGCAAAACTATTAATGTCCCCTATCAACCCTGAGAATAAAGGAAATGATCACCAACTAATTAAAAGGAGCTCTTGATTGTTAAACAAATTCCCCTTGTACCACCTTAGGAAATGTCTTGAGAACAGTATGGAGAATATACATACTGATATAAGGGTGTAAAGGGCTAAACATATGATCGCCCGAATCACCCACCCTCTCTCCCCTCCCTCAATCTTCCTATTCGATTCCGGCCTCTCAACAGTTCAGTCGCTTTTGCTGTGGCGTCCAGAAACGTGAACAAAGGATACATGACTTTCGAGAAACATTTTGTAAAAAACATAACGTTCTTATAATCTTAGAACCGCTAAAAATCTATTACACATTCATTTTGGGACAGGAGCGGAGGAGGGCCAACATATTTCTATTAAACCCTGTCGAAAATGCATTTTAAGGCAGTCTTCCTATTTTCTTAAAAAATTCCACAAAAATTGAATAAAAATCCAAAATTTTATGGGTTTTAACTGTGTGCTTACCCGTATGGGAACAAGGAGATCGCGAGCGCTTCTAACATGAATTTCCTCGTAAAAATTCACATTAAATGCAACACTGAAACTCCCGCATTTATGAATGACCGATCGCAATTGCCACTCGGAGAGCAGCTTCGTGAATCGTTATTACTTTTTAAACAAATTTAACCACGATTTTCTTACCTCCACATCGATAACTTCTTCCCCAGCGAAAGTAAATTCAGTGAGATTGGGTGTTAATGTCAGTTTGTAGTTCTTTGGAAGCACGCTCGTTGGAAGTCGTTCAAAAGGTTTCTTTTCCTTCATTGTGGAGACTGCTACACTTTTAAACAACGAATTTGACACACACAGAGAGAAAGAGTTCTTAACCAGGTAAACGGAGTTCTGAGGCCTTAAAATACGTTGCAAAAGAAGTAACGAAAGCGGAAGACCCCTCATAAAAGTGTCATGTGCTTTCAAGAACTTTACGAAGACCACACGGACATTTCCGAATAACCCCACGGTTCATGCGAAGCAATATCGGAAAGATAGGTCCGCGGAGGAGTACTAAGTTATAGCCCATTGAAGCTAAAAATACAATCATTCCACGGCGAATGGCTTAATACAGGGGTAAACCGCTTTTTTCGGGGCTTCGCAGAAGAGGAGCGATATAAGAAACGCTAAAAAACGTCATTTTATGGCATTATTGACCACGAATGAACAAAAACTCGCTAAAAAATGCTGCTAACATTGATTTAGGGGGAGAAACAGATTGAATTTTACTTCAAAGATTATTCTTAGTTTTATTTGAGTGGTTCCGCTCTAAATGACCGTTCAATACAGGTGGGAGACAATACAAACAGGCCGTTGGGACTTACTCAAACCGCTTAATGGAGGTGACTGCTCAATAGAAGCAAAAATTACAGCGATTATTTATATACAAATTCGGAACTTCGACAACCGACCGCTTAATACAAGGTGACCGCTTAATGCGGTGTCGCTTAATACAAGTTCGACTGTATTCTGCTTTGACTGAGCACTTTGAGTGCTAATTAAGACATTCTGTTCCAATGATAACACTTATCACAGACTAAGGTTAGAAAGAGGAAAGGTTGCTATGCAACCAGATAATGTCTTCTGTCTCATTTGTCGTAAAAAAAAAAACTCAGTCTTGCTTGCAATTACCTGTGGTACAGCGGAGCAATCGATGAGACGAAGAGAAACACCGTTGTGATAAGAAGCAATCAGAAACATTCTCGGTAAGATTTTTTACGGTACAATTTATAGAATAGACTCTTTAAAGTAAAGTTTAGGGTAAAATTTATGGTTATTTGAATTCATAAACCTCATTTCTTTATCTTGGGTCTGTCTATCTGCATCAGTTAATCAGAAAACGTTCCCCTTTAACAAACTACTCCAACATAACAATATCTTTTTGACTTCATCGACGAATATTCTTCTTATGTTTTCGTTCACTTATCGACAACCGACCAAAGAAGCCCTCCATGAAGTTACGAAAGGAACATTTTCCGACATGAATAGGAACTTTTCAGTTAACCCACCGGAAAAAAATATGAATTGTTAAAACTAAATGATATGCGATAATCTATGAACGAAAACATGCACGTGTTTTGTCTGCCTCTAGACCTAAGAGCAAGAAAAAATTAAATACGTTCTAATGAACGCAAAAAAGGTAAAATAAATGTGTTTTTAGCACTTGGTTGCTCAAGTTTGGCTTTTTCACAATTATAAATAATTAATGTCATTAAAAGTAATAACATGACGAAGATATCTCATTAATTAGAATTACTGGAATGTAAGCAGCAATTTCAAGGTAGTTAAAGACATCTTTACTGATGCTATAACAATAAACATACATAGGAACATAATGAATCTGAGAGACCGAAGTAGTAAATTTAGAATATTGGATTGAAAAAGTTTCTAGAAATCTTGAGTTTTCTGCCACTCTTTGCTTTAAAAAGTCCCTTGTTTCTGTAAACGGTGTTGGATGGTAGCGATTTGCACACGATGAAAAGTAAATTTTGAACCAAATTTCAATTTCATTCACCCACAACCTGACAAAAAGCAAATGTACGGATGTAAATAAAAATTGTTATCATAAAATTCAAAATCGAATCCCAACTGATGAAACAGCTAAGTATCTTTGTGGCCGGCTTTAGAAGCAGGTTTTTTATAGGTTTTCTATACATTTCAGAAACCAGGAAAGATGAGTTTGTTGCGGAGAGGTTGGGATCTGTTTCAACCTTACAATTACTGATCTTTGAGACAGACTAGCAGACAGTATAAATGAGCTCTCGTTAGGAGAGAGATAGTAAAGAGGTATCTCTAACTTCTAATGTGAAGACGCATGATCACCAAAAAAATGGAAGGTTGGAGATTGGAGGAAATGTAGTTCATCTCACTTAAAATAAATTGCTCCTTACGGTACAGGTGGATAACACTTCAATAAAAGAAGGTGCAGGTTATAATTACGCTTTGACGCTCATGAAAAATAGTTATGTACCAAAACGGGATTTTCTCCCGAAAATATTGCAATCGATGAAGGAAAAGACGAGTTAAATAATCTTTTTGTGATATATTATCTCACCATTTTAGTATATACTAAAAAGAGTTATTCCCCTCAGTGTCGGTAGCTAGTGTTGGATATTTACCTCGCTGCCTCATATCTACGTAGATATATACCATTAACCACCTCTCCTTCGATGAAGAGTTGTCAATTGTCATTTTAATGGCTTACAGCAGAACGAGCCAGACAGCTGGTAATAGTTGCGGTTTCTACACTGAAGCCAAACTACACGAAGGATTTCAATGTTGTCGGGATTTTCCGATTTACAACAGCAAAAGCAGATACACTGTTGCAAGTTAGTCATCATAGCATTCTCCTCACAGTTTATAGCGGTATGTAAGGCTAATGGTTGATTAATCTAAACACTAAAAAAGGAAATTCTTATTTTTTCTCTATTTTCGCAGAGAAATCTAGCTTCGTTTCCACGGGTGACGTTCCCTATATCCCTTTCGGGCTGAATTTATGATGGGCTGCACAAGTTCGGTACAATCCAAGAACCAAGCGGTTCATCCTTTGGTCTCCAGCTTGGTAAACAACAAAGTTTCAATCTCAGTTTCTGAAGAAAATAAAATCATTCTGCGAGAATCATGGAAAACTTTGGACTTAAGGAGAACCGCGGCAGGAAAGAAAGTATTCGCAAGGTAAAAACGTCTAATGTTGTTTCGAGCTAAGGAATAATTTTGTATGAGAAGCTCTGTGAGGTGAAAAATAGAGCTCAATCCGCAGGCGCTTTCTCTTGTCACGTTTTCGCGCGAGGTCTTGGAAGAGGGGAACGAGGCAAGCTTCTCTCGAGTTTTCCAGACCACTCCCCAGTTACGTAAAACTTACGAAATCTAGGGTTGTTTAAGATACCCAAACGAAAATTGCTCTGATATCAGCAAAAATTTCTAAAGTGTCACGTATGGCATGTTAGAACAATTTTCATTTGAATGTCGAAAGTGATCCACAGAGATTATTTTGGTTTTGCCTAAATTCGGTCTGTGATTGGTCTTCTAAACTTACATCATCCTCTTAACTAATCAGACGCACAACGAAAACCATTCTTTACTTGGTAGCCCGCGTTTTCCCGCGTTTTCGATAGTTTGTCTGTTTCATTTAAAAGTTCATTGGCTAATGATGATTTAAACCTTTGTTATGATTGGATGTTGTGATTACTTTGGTTCTGGTTTTTCGGCAGTAAATTGAAAACTGCTGTAAAAAAACGGAATGTAAGGTTAATTCAGTTACAAAACTGATTTCTGTTTCCCTGAAGGCTTCTTGAACTGAATCCCAACCTCCAGGACGCATTTCCCTCGTTTAGAGGCGTGGCTTTGGACGAAGTTATGAATTCCCGCTCGTTGTTTCTGCACTCCAAGCGTTTAATGGCTGTAGTGGAAGAAACTGTGTTATCTTTAGATGATGCCAAGGAGCTGATTGAAGATCTTACGAACCTTGGGGAAAGACATTTAGCGATGTCTATCACTGAGAAACACTTAAAGGTAAGAAATCTTATGTACCTGAAAGCTACCCTGTTATTGTACGAGATGGCTCCTGTCATCAGTTCGTGGATAAAACTCTCGCGAGTGACCATTACAATGAATGAGTCTGAAAAATACTTACAGGTAGGACTGATCTTGGACATCTCAGAGATATTCAGAAGAATGCAGCATAAATCAATAAATTATTTCTGAAAGGTATCTGGAGATCTCCTTGAAAGAAGTAGTTCTAAACAAGTCCTAAGCGGTTAGGGGCTGGCGTTTGACCTTGCAACTCTGATGGACTAGTACGTCCATGTGGTACTCTTCATTATCGTGCTCTACGAAGTGGATTTGATGTTCAAGTCGGTGGATAGAATACCAGTGTGTCTAATTAGAGCCAAAGAGCAAAATTTCCATATCTATTCTGCTGTACACTGTGGCTCCAACTACAATCGGCGACAAAATTTTTGACACATTGAACTTATCAACCCACTATAACTATAACTTGCCCTTATTAAGTTAACCTATTCGCCCCCTTCCTCCCCTCCCCCCCCCCCCATCCAAAAACAAAGACAAAAACAATGAGGTATCGTGATTCCATGAACTTTCGCTACATACGGGCAACATTGAATGGGGAGGGGGTAATGTCAAAATTAAGTGTGGGAAACTGGAGTTAAATGAATAGAACTTTTAGTAATTTTGACGCTGAAAATTTAGTCTCATTAACCTCGAAAAAAAAAAAATGATTGAAATCTAATTCTTAAAAATGTTTTTAACATTTTTCTTGTTTACCAGTCGAGCTTAGGAAGATCATAACACCCTCAACCAATTTTTAACAAGATGGATCATAACCCCAACATGGCCAACATTTTAACCTTTAGTCGCTACTGGGAATCTTTTTTATGTTACATTGTTTATTATGCTCTTTAATAAATTAGATATAAAACTACGTCCTTGTGGGAAACGTTAACCCTGAAACGCTTGGTGGGAAACGCGTTTTCAACTTTCTTTCAGGTCATGGAAGAGGCCTTTGTCCTCATGTTACAAGACATTCTTGAAGGAAGTTGCTCGGAACAAATTATAAAAGCCTGGAGAGAATTGTTTGGATTCATGGCTAAAACCATGTTGACAGGACAAGAACAAGCGAGCAATAACTTACTTTCGTAATTCGCCCTTAATTCTGATTTAAAATGAGAACATCGTTTCTGATCTTTTTTTTTTTTCATCCGACCTCGGTTACAGGGTCTCTTCCTTCTGCTCTTCAAACGCTCGAGGGGGTGAAAAAAATAGAGGCTATAAGAACGGGTTTGGTTTCAATCAATGGACTGTATCAATTCGCCTCTTCCTTCGATCAAGTCTATCAACAAAAAAATTTAGATAAGGTAGTGAAATAATCTGTGCTGGAAAATATGTATAATTTTTTGTTTGTTTGTTTTGTTTGTTTATTTTGTTTGTTTGTTTTGTTGTTTTAATTTGGGGAGACAATGAAATTTGCAACATAATAGAAGTTGCACTAAGTGGGGTAACGCGGGCCAGTGAGATGCGAAGGAGATCGTGGACTACGCGACACTGATTCTCAACCCCAGTCCTCAAGGACAGTTTTAAAGGTCGTCCTCGCGAGCCGACAAAATGAAACGATTCCTGAGCTATGATTGGCTCATACTTCTCGCTAAAGATTGCTCATTTTAATATTTGTTGTAAATACACTGTGTTTACGATCTTAACAAATTAATCAAAGATTTAAAGAACAATGTTTTTCCAGCTTTTCGCAGCCGTGGAACAAAGAAGAATATGATTTCTCGTGAGGAATCGACCCTCAGACCTTCGGATTTCGCGTTAGCTCCGAATTTCTATCGATTTTTGTTCTCTTTGTCTTACGCTCGTAACTACGAAAAAAAATTAGAATCTTTTTTTTGTTCCATAAACAGTTCAAAATTTCCCTTTTTTCCTATCCTATTTACTCAGCGATGGTTAGAAAAGTAAACCTTTTCCGACAGTATTGGGAATATCAAAGTCACAAAAGCAGAGACGCTTTTGAGACGCGCACAAACAGCGGATGAAAAATAAAATTATCTCTTACGCTCTTTTTGACGCCAAAGTATCGACCATAGGGTCTTTATTTTAGCAATTTAAACCAAATTGTGCTGACCAAAAAGGTGTTTTGATCATCAGGAATAGGAAGTTTTAATTTCCGGCTGCCATTGGTGTCTCAAAATCTTTTGTGCTTAAGTTTCCTAAATAAAGAATACCGCGACGAATTTCGCGAATTGATTTAGCAGTTCTATTATGTAATCTTAATTTCTGACCTGTATTATAAATTATTTTAATTGTAGCTTAAGTTTGTTCTTTTAGATAGCTTAGGGACATGTCCTTATTTATCGTTTGTGCGGGGAGGGGGGGTGGGTTGGCTTTGGAGGATTTTGGTTGTGTCGCGAGAAAATTTACCCAATCCCTCATAAGGTTCTGTAATATTCTTTTCTTATACCCACACCAGCCCCAGTCCCCCCCTTTACTTTCCCTAATAGTCAGTAATGTGTTCTTGATCCCATCCCCGTACCCCTGAAAAAACCCCCCCTTTCTTCCCCCCATCCCTCCCCGGCCATGAAGAACAACTGGTTCCTAAATTAGGAACAAACTTTACCGATCACGCGTGGTCAATAACATATATTTACACCATCAAGATTTCCTTTGACAACTACCCTCCCACTTGTCTAGAAAAAAATTTCGCTAGATACACACGTCAACACCTGTCAAAAAAAACATTAGCAGTAGATTGACCTAAACCCTTTAGGATTTAATTTATTAACAACGGTTCCTAACATCTCCCCTAGGGCCCCGACCACGCTAATGCGTTTTCAAAAGTGACGGTTTTCGTATCAAATGAAATCAAGCAAAGTGTTTTCACCCACGAACACATTACTGTCTTGCTAATGTTTAAAATTTCTCCCCACGCTGATGCGTCTTCGTTTGAAAACTTATAATGTGTTCTCGTCCACGCTAAAATACCCGAAAATGCAAATGAAAGTGACAGTATTTGCCACATATTTCGTCAATGTTTTTAAAAGCCTCATTTTTCACTTGTCGACATATGAAAGAGAACTTTTTAAAAGCACAACGTTTTCAAAACACTTCACTTTTCAACCAATTTTGAAAGTATCTGTTTTCATCCGCGTTTTCAGGCGTTTTTGCATATGAAGTAAGAAAAAATAGGATGAAAAGGCTTTTTTCGTAAATGCGGTTTAAACTATTTTTGGCAAATTTTTCTTCGACAGTTTTTCTCTTGAAATGAAAGTGTCCCTGTACAAGAACTGGCATCCAAGATCTAGAGTTAGTAAATCCAACCTTTACACAAATCAATGACAGAAGAAAAGAAACAATAAAATGTCTCTTAATAAACTGATTTCGCGACGTGATAGAAGCGGATGATGTCATGCAAACATTACAAACAAATCCATTGCATTGATGTTTTTTATTTTGCCGCATTGCTAATTGATTGTCTTTCACAACAAGTGAATTAAGATATTTGCATAATAAGATTACTTGCGTGTTCAATTAATTTCATCGGAAACGAAGGCGATATACGTCAGATCGTATATAACTACGTATGCTTTATATATAATTTTTAGCGGCCATTCGTTCTACAGTCTTAATTCACAGAAAAGATGCTGGAGTTACATGGTAAATATGATGCTTTTGTTAAAGCTTTTTTCATATAAGTAGCACGTTCTACCTTTAAAAAGCCGATTTCCTTTCCACGAAGCTTATCACGCTTTTTGAAAACGAAAACACAACGAGATTTTCCTGGCAGGTCCGCTGCGGTCCAAAGATTGATCACTTTCTTTTTTTCCTTTTTTCCTTTTAACAAAGGCACTTGTCAAAGGTAAAACGTGCAAAGAAAAAAATCAATTTTTCTTGACTGAAGCTTTAAAAAGCCACGAATCAACGAAGTTATAACAGGTTCAAGGAGGAATTCCGTTTTGGGAAGTCCTGTTTGACAAACGTTGTTTACAAGTTTCCTTTGGAGATGTATGTAGCGAAAGAGTTTCCTGTCCACTCACCACGACTGTGGAAACTTGCCAGATTTAATACTATTTGAAAGAAATTCCAATTTTTACCCTCATCATAGAAAACATCAAGACAATTTGATTGTTTTCGTGGAAATTTCAAAAGTCTTATTGAGAGAACAAAATCCTCGTATTAATTTAAATTGGAAATTTCTGTTTTCACTCATAAGACACCACGGGGAACATTATAAGCAAAAACATATAATAACTTCAATTTTTGACTTATTGCAGATTAAAGTAAGATTGCTCTTGCACAGGAGCTGAACGTCCTAAGAATTCATAATAATTTAGTGATATGAAATATCAGGAAAAACTTGTCAGAGTGTGTGTTCAAATTTTGGTTTTGCTTGTGTCGCCAATGGCTGTTGTAAAATTATGAATTGCAGTTTTTGAAGTTAATATATTAGGCCCAATTTGTCAGATTAAGCGGAAAGGATCCTTGTTTTTCTATACTCAGTAGTTGTATAATTAATTGCTTTCAATTAGATTTCCTATTGTGGACATTTTTATTCTGTTAAGGACTTTGCAGTTGCCAGGTTAAATCTTCAGTGAAATCACGTGTTTCTCAGAAATAGATTGGCCGCATTTCAAGGGGTTGCGTGCGAATTAAATGAGATGTCGAGCCACACTTGTCAAGATCAGTTCACATAAATATGCTAGGTTATTATTTCCATTTTATTAGTTTTCTGACTTGGTAAATATTTCGCTCAACAGAGTCGTGTTGAAAAACAAAAATAGTTCACAAACAAATCTTTATTAGATTTTGTCTAAGCCGAGAATTTAGGTATGTGAGGTTGCACTAAACAGTTCAGGAATAGATGGTAGGTTTAAAATTACTTTTCTTTCGTTATTTTTGCACATATTTCCGTGTAAAATATTATAATAATTTACTCGACAATGTTGATTTGTAAAAAATACTCACAAATTTTCAATCTCTACTGTCAAGTTTCTCAAAACTGAGATTTTCTCATAGTGCATTTACATCGCACGTGTAAAGTATGGATTATTTTATTTGATGGATACGTACACGTGAACCGTAAGAAATCTTCCGATTCCCGTCCTTTTTTTAATTAATCCTCCCAATCATAGCAGTCTAGCTTTTTGATTCAGACTTAAAAACAAGGAAAATAGATTCACTTATTTCGTGCGTCAAGCTAAATTATGTTTAAAAGGATGTAGTTTTTGGGAAATTGACCAAAATTAGAGTCAGTCATTTGAATTCATTATTAAGCTACAAAAAGGCCTTTAGTCATTCCCAATAACTGCAACATTCAGAATTTTTTTTCGATTTAAAGAACCTATATTGGCTTGAATATAAAATGCAAGAAATTCTGCCTTCACAGAGGCCACCTGCAACATGTTGTCATGACAACCGTTTGTTATAAATCACTTCACTTTTTCACGCCCTATGTTAAACAAAATTGACCAATCATTTAAAATTATTTTACCACATTGTACTAAAAGAGGTAAGACCGCATGCGAATGCCAAGGATAAATTTTAACTGTAAGTAACATATTAATTTGCAACAAGCTTAAAAATACGGTCGAAAGGACATTGGTAGAAATTGCAAAATTTTGCTATTCAAATACGGCACTTGAGCTGTGAGTATCATTTCTCTATTAAAACAACAGCTCATTACAGTCTTGCGAAAGGGTAATTGCAATCATGACCACAGTAGTTTGAGAACAGTAATCTGGAAAATCCCAAGCTATAGCTATAACAGTATACATAAAAATTTATCCTTCCAATGAAAACCCAAAGAATATTTTTTTGTAGCGTTTTGAGCTGTTATCAATTTGTCGGGCTTTACAACGTAACAACATAATGCGTTAATGGACTGGTAAGTCTAACTAAAAGAGGATTTTAAAGGGATTCAGCGCGTTAGGCTTGTTGCTCTTTCCTGTTGGTTAGAATCATTTTATTTACTCTTATAATACGAATTTAAAACTGGTACGTACTGTTAACATGTTTTAAAAAAACAATTTTTTATTTGAATTTAGCAATGACCAGATAATACGCTCGTAAAAGTTTCCTCGAGTGTTCTTATATCGCTTAGCAACCACAAATACGCTTTAATTTCAACGATTTATACAGGTTAATTGAGGTTTTGTGTAATCAACTCTTCACTTTCAAACTAGCCCGTCAGTGCGCGCGAAAAGCACCATTCACTTGCGTCGTATATACTCTGTAAATACGTTGTTTGGTTTTTTATCCCGAGAGTGGGAGAAAGGTGAGCATCGGCACACAAAGGCTGGAATTGGATTCCCGTGAGGGAAATAACCTTTTCTCTCTGTCCCACGCTCGTGTGAAAAAAAGGTAAAAAATTAAAAAAAAATAAAAACTATATCGATATAACCCTTTAAATCCCATGAGTGACCAAGACAGAGTTTCTCCTTACAATATCAATACAATATCAACCAGATAAGTGATGAGAATGAAGAAAAATATTAATTTGGAGATATTTAGTTGATCCAAAACCAAATTCTCTAAACTAACATTATAAGAACTGTATGGTTGACAGTAAGGAGAATTAAAAATTTCATCTGAGAATTAAAGGGTTAAGGATCAAAGTGACATACCCATGAGTGGTTAATCTCAACACAAAGTAATCTCATATTAACATTTATCATTTGTACTGCATCGTTAACCCTTAAACTCCGGAGATCTTATCAGTAATTCGTCTTACTGTCTGCCATACAGTCCTTGTGATGTTTGTTTGAGGAATTTGTAGTGGATCAAGTAATAACCCCCTAATTAAGATTTTTCTTTATTTTCATCACTTATCTGCTTGATATTGTAATAATATTGTAGGGAGAAATTCTGTCTTGGTCACTAACTGGAGTTAAAGGGTTAAGTAACAGCGTATGACAGAGGTGACTAATATTTCGCCAGCACCGAGAGTAACAAGTTGCTACACCAAGTACTATTCACCTCCCGGCAGCCTATGAGACAAAATCGTTAGTCAAGAATTTAATTTCCAACCATTTTTCGTTATATTTAAAGGGATAAACTTAGTTTTTTTGGTATCTCTGTGGTATATGATATGCTAAAACAATGATTCACCTCGCAGTGTCGGTGAAAGTGGTAAACATTTACCTCCACATTAGTGAATGTTTATTAATTGTTCCATAGACGGGGCTCCAAATTCTTCATCTCCCTATAAAACTGATATAGATTTCGTTGTAATCGTGCCCCAAATATAAAAAAATTCCTGGTCCTCACGGAACGTATGTCTATTTTTTTGCAAAATGAAATCATATCTACCGTTGACACATTGCACCCCCACTGCTAATGCAATGCTCTTTTTTTAAGTTAGAGATTCCTCGTTTAAATTGTGTGCCATTGCTAAATTGGAAGGTGATGGCATAAATAAAACAGATTGAGCGAGGGAACACGAATTTGAAATGATAAATTTGGGAATTATAGGAAACTGAGGAAACGTTCACAAACGCAAGGTTAGGTCCTACATGAAGTGGCCTGTGTAGCTACCAGTGATTTTGCATAAGCTTATTCCGAACGGTTTGGTGAAGAGAAAACCTTCTCGTGGTTTCACTTCGTTTTCCCATCCTTTTCACGACTCCGACGCGTGAAAGATGTTTGAAAGCGCACCATAAAAAAACGCTAGCTACGTGGGTTTAAGTAATGTAATTGTTAAGTAATGTATGTAACTTCTAATAGCGGAGCTCGCAGAGCGTAGCCCCATTATTATATATGCATGAAAGTTAGGAGCACAGTTTCCAAGAACTAAACTCAGTATGATCCAAACTGTGACACCGACATTCCAATTACGCAAAGTAGGAGTGTCAGGTTTAAGTTCAATCTTCATTTGAAATTACAGCAAAAGCTTCACCAAACTAACTCTCTCAATGACGTCCCCCGCTCCACTAATTGCTTGAAACTTATTTGAATTTTATATTTAAACATCCCTTCCTTTCAGATATTGAATGACAAATGAGGCTGTCCGATGGGTTGTTCGGCCTCGCTTCATCATCGTGTCGCTTCACGACATCTGCCATCGGCGAGAGTGAAGACAATCGCTGTTCCTTTATCAGCCGATACGAAAAATACGTTGAGAGAATCGTGGAATCTTGTGGAGCCTGTTAAAACTGAGGCTGGAAAATTGATGTTTGTGAGGTAGGTCAAACTTCAATATAAAAATATCGCCATTGGCTACGAATTAAGCATACAGCACGGAATCAAGATGTGATGAAATATATTAAATTTTATTTTCCATCGATATTTGAAGTAAATTTTCGTAAACTTTTAGGTTATGAAATATCTTCCTGAGGTTATTTTCATTTTGATTTTGTTTCATCTTTGTTTTGCTTTAATGTGTCGTGTTTAGACTATTTGATCTTACTCCCACAGAGTAAGAATTTTCATAGCTTTTAAATTAAAGAACTCAAAGTTTATCTTCATACGTAAGGGATTAAATTTAAGGGATCGGTTTTCGTCATCGACATAGCATTAATTTGTTGAATTTGAGGTAATCTTTCTTGTGCACAAGTTTCAATAAAATTATTGGGCTACCTGTCATTTAAAATGGGGAAAAATGCTCTAGTAACGTCAAATTAAAAATATTTTGCGTCGAAAATGGAATCCGATGTTTAAGGACAAATTAACATATCATGACTTTAACACTAATGATAGTAAGTGTAGTGCAATTCTTGATATAACAATTAAGCAAAAGTTTACACCTCGCAAGATTTCTTGGTAGTGCACCGTGGGGAAGTAACCGGTCAGTTGTTGAAAAGAAGACAGTAGAAGAGCCAAAAGGATCCCGTTAAATA